CCGGGAGCCGCCGCCTGAGGTCCTCAAGGAGGCCGTGCTGCGCTACAGCCTGGCCGACGAGGCCTCCATGGACAGCGGGGCGCGCTGGCAGCGCGGGCGGCTGGCCCTGCGCGCCCGAGGCCCCGGCGGCGTGGACCGCGTGCTGGAGCTCTTCGACCCGCCCAAGGTAGGCACTGCGCACGCGCGGCGGCTCCGGCGTCGGGGCGCCAGGGGAGGGCGGGGCCTGTTTCCCGCCGGCGGCGCCATGCGAGGGAAGTACCGCCGATGCGAGGGAAGTTCCCTAAACCTTTTCAACACGGAGCCTTTTCTGAGAAGCACTGGGTGTGCCTTCGCCACAGCGAATTGTGAGAAATAAGGCGAGCCCCCAAAGCAGGGGTCCTGGTAGGACACAAGGCGCACCGGAGCCAGGCAGCAAGGCAGCACCCTGACTTGTGCAGGAGGGTGCGGCCCACAGAGCCTGGCGCCGCGCGGGTCCCGCCCTCGTTCTCCGGAAGAGTGAGGCGCGCAGAGCTGCGCGACGGGCTAATTGGCAGGAGGGGTTGACATTTGCTGTTTCAAAATGGCGGCCCCCGGGTGAGCTTCGCGTCACACGGGCCAAAATGGCCGCCGCCTAAACTCCCTTCTTTGACAGAAAAGATGGTTTATTCTCCCATAAGGAACCCACACTGGTCATTACTGTTAAGGAAGCTTTGAGGTGTCTTTGGATTTTGCTCTTTTTCCCCTAATGTGCCGTTTCCGCTCCAGCATCCTGTGTGAGTGTATTAGATCCGCCCGTTAGGCCTCCTTGGGCCCTCCTGGCTGTGACAGTTTCTCTTGTTTTTTGATGACCTCGCGGGTTTTGAGGAGCACCAGGGAGGGGCTTTGTGGAATGTTCAGGGACACCATATGGGCACCCAGGCTGTGGCAGGTTAGTGCCGGATCCTTGAAGACCCTGCCCCAGCAGGGGCTCTGGTTGAGCCTCGACCTTTGAACCAGGAGGTCACAGTTCAGTTCCCGTCAGGGCACAGGCCCGGGTTGCAGGCTCGATCCCCAGTGTGGGCCGTGCAGGAGGCAGCCAACCAGTGATTCTCTCTCATCATTGATGTTTCTCTTTCCCTCTTCCTTCCTCTCTGAAAGCAATAAAAATATATTTTTTTAAAAAGGCCCTGACACAAACTGACTATGACAAATAGGTTTTCTAGGGGTTCAAAACCATCATGGAATTCCTTTGCACCCCCATGCTTTGTGGATGTCTTGTTTTCCTTCAGGTTTTAACAGTTGTGCCTTTTCCCTTTGTAACCAACTGAATTCCACCTGTGCAGTACGGCTGCGGGTCCAGTTCCGCACTCCTGTGCGGTCTCTGACTTCGGTGTATCAAGTTGATGGGATCCCACGGCTTTCACTAATTCCGTTCTCTCTGTGGTCCTATTTGGTGCTAGGAACTTGCTGAGGGAGCAAAGTAGACCTGATCCTCGCCTCCAGGGTCACAGGCTAGGTCAGGAGACTGACTGTTATTCATTTGTTCAACACATTTATTGAGCACCTCTATGTATCAGGCACATGCTAGGTACAGGGGGAACTGGCAGGTGGTGGAGGCTATTAAGGGAATAAACTGCAAGAGAGCATGAATTATGAATACACTAGTGGCCCAGTGCACGAATTTTTGCACATTGAAAGGAAATTAATTAGAAGAAATATTTTAATAGCGCTATTCACCCTTTCTGTATAATAGAAGTTTCAACCAAATTCACGATCGACAAGGACAGATGGAAACACACACGTGCGATTGGCCCCAGCGAGAGCTTTATATGTATCACTCATGCGCGAGTCAACTTAGTCGTTTCTATATATAGAATAAACTTGCTTAATTAGACCTGCTTTCTCATGTAGCTAAACTTTTTCCAGCCCAGTGAGGCACCCCAACTTCTCTTTCAGGTAATTGTCAGCAACACAGCAGTAAATATCAACACAAAGCAGATTATTATCGTAGGTCACACAGGGAGAACAAAGGGTAAAACATTTAACTGCAGCAGCGTTTGACTCTATTCTGTGCAGTGAGAAAACCTGAAGTCATTTTCAAGGTCCACCATTTCTTTTCAGTCAGGTCAAGTTTCTAAGCTTTCTAAATCTCCGTTTTCTGGCTAATGAAAAGAAAATAGGATTCCACCGAGTCTATCTACCTACTCCAGGACTTCTGTGAGGATCAAATGAGATGATGCACGGGAAAATGCTTCACAGACATTTGGTTAAAATGTGAAATGTTTGCACCTGGCTATAAAGCAAGTCGTGTTCCTGGGCTGAAGAAACTGTAAGGAGGCCAGTCGCTAGGGAGAGGAAGCCGGGCATTGCTACGTGATGTCATTACCTGGCGCCCACAGCAACCATTTCCGGGCTGGGCAGTGGGCTGCATTTTGTGCCATGGGGTCTTGGCAGTGTTGGCTGTGATTTGTTGGGGTGTCACACCGGGTTGGTGGCAGAGCCTGTGTCCCCCTTGGGGGAAGCTGAGTGTTGCTTTGTGGGCACCACGTCTGGAGTTCTTCTGTTTCTCTGCGTGCGTCACGGCAGCTCCTGCGTTGAGCGTCTGCCTCCTGGTGGTCATTGCACATCATAGTGACTGGTCGGATGGTCAGATACTTAGCATATTAGCTTTTTATATATATAGATACTGTGTCCTAGAGGCAGAGCAGTGGGGCTGCTGTGAGGATAACAGAGGGGCCCTAATTTGGCGGTTGGGATGGGGTGTGGTCAAAGAATCCTCAAGTGTGGGATGTACACCTGAAACTCTTAGTGTGTGAGTGTGTCTCCCTCAGTCAGTAACCCACCCACACAGACTCCTGCCCCATGGACTACATTTCTCTGTTCTTGAACTTCATGTGAGTGGAATCACACGGCATGCTGCCTTTTATGTCTGGCTTCTTTGCCCAGCATAATGTTTTAGAGATTGTCCATGTTCTCCACGGGTTGTTTCTTTTCACCGCCGAGTGGCATTTCGTTGTGGGTGCACCCCATTAGTTACCCATTCACCTATTCTTGGATATTTGGGACTTTTACGAAGAATGCTGTTGTAAAAGTTTAGGTAGCTCTTTGTGTGGACAAATGCTTCCATTTCTCTGGTAGAGTCCTAGAAGGGGGCTTGCCAGGTCACACGGTAAGTGTGGGTTTAACTTGGTAAGAAAATTTTAAACTTTTCCAAAGTGGCTGCACGATTGTGAGTTTCATATCAGCCCTTCTAATGTACTGGCGTCTCACTGCGGCTTTCATTTGCCTTTTCCTGATGACTCGGAGGTTAAGCACCTTTTCATGTTCAGTGGACATTGGATTGGACTCGTGAAGCACGTTTTTTTGTTTGTTTTTTTAAAAAATATATTTCTATTGATTCCAGAGAGAAAGGGAGAGGGAGAGAGAGAGTTAGAAACATCAGTGATGAGAGAATCATTGATTGTCTGCCTCCTGCACGCCCCCCACTGGGGATCGAGCCCACAACCCAGGCATGTGCCCTGACCCAGAATCCAACCTGGGACCCTTCAGTCCACAAGCAGATGCTCTATCCACTGAGCCAAACCGGCTAGGGCTCGTGAAGCACGTTTTGAATGAGTTGTCTGTCTTATTGATTTGTAAGAGTTTTTATATATTCTGGATACACTTCCTTTGTATTGTAAATATCATCTCCACTCTGTGGGTTGGTTGCCTTTTTTTTCTTTCTTTATTGATTAAGGTATTACATGTGTCCTTATCCCCCCCATTTCCCCCCCCCCCCCGGCCTGTCCCCGCTCATGCCCTCACCCCCCCTGGTCTCTGTGTCCATTGGTTAGGCTTATATGCATGCATACAAGTCCTTTGGTTGATCTCTCCCCCTTACCCCCACCCTCCCTTGCCTTCCCTCTGAGGTTTGATGGTCTGATCGATGCTTCTGTCTCTGGATCTGTTTTTGTTCATCAGTTTTTGTTGTTCATTACATTCCACAAATGAGTGAGATCATATGATATTTACCTTTCCCTGACTGACTTATTTTGCTTAGCATAATGCTCTCCAGGTCCATCAGTGCTGTTGAAAATGGTAGGAGTTAGTTCTTTTTTACAGCAGCATAGTATTCCATTGTGTAGATGTACCATAGTTTTCTAATCCATTCATCTGTTGATGGGCACTTAGGCTGTTTCCAAATCTTAGCTATGGTGAATTGTGCTGCTATGAACATAGGGGTGCGTATATCCTTTCTGATTGGTGTTTCTAGTTTCTTGGGATATATTCCTAGAAGTGGGATTACTGAGTCAAAGGGAAGTTCCATTTTTAGTTTTTTGAGGAAACTCCATACTGTTCTCCACAGTGGCTGCACCAGTCTGCATTCCCACCAGCAGTGCACGAGGGTTCCTTTTTCTCCACATGCTCGCCAGCACGTTGTTTGTTGATGATAGCCATTCTGACAGGTATGAGGTGGTACCTCATTGTCGTTCTGATTTGCATCTCTCAGATGATTAGTGACTTTGAGCATGTTTTCATGTCTCTTGGCTTTCTGAGTGTCCTCTTTCGAAAAGTATCTATTTAGGTCCCTTGCCCATTTTTTGATTGGGTGTTTATCTTTCCTTTGTTAAGTTGTATGAATGATTGCCTTTTTACTTCTTTAGTGAAACTGTCTCATGAATAGAAGTTCTTAATTTTAATGTAGTCCAGTTTATCAATTGCTTACTTTTATGGTTAATGATTTTTGTGTTCTGTTTATATTTTATTAAAAAATATTTTTATTGCCCTAACTGGTTTGGTTCAGTGGATAGAGCGTCGGCCTGCGGACTCAAGGGTCCCAGGTTCGATTCCGGTCAAGGGCATGTACCTTGGTTGCAGGCACATCCCCAGTAGGGAGTGTGCAGGAGGCAGCTGATCGATGCTTCTCTCTCATTGATGTTTCAAACTCTCTATCCCTCTCCCTTCCTCTCTGTAAAAAAAAAAAAATCAATAAAATATATTTAAAAAATATATTTTTATTGACTTCAGAGAGGAAGGGAGAGAGAGAGAGAGAGAGAGAGAGAGAGAGAGCGCGCGATATATCAATAACAAGAGGGAATTATTGATTGGCTGCCTCCTGCACACCCCCTATTGGGGATCGAGCCCAAAACCTGGGCCGATGCTCTATCCACGGAGCCAAACCAGCCAGGGCTTTGTGTCCTCTTTAAGAAACCTTTGCTACTCAGGTCA